GGGGGGAGCTTATCTCATCTGACAACAGAGCATGCCGTTTCTTAATGTGATTATGGAAGAGTAAACCAATTATTACAGGCATACAGGACAAATCTAGGCATGATGTGCGTAAGAGGCTAGCAGTGTACCCTTTATGCGTCACGTAGAGGTATAAAATACTCCTTTCAAATGTACTTTATATTGAATGCTTTAATTCAATCAAAAATGCCACACATGATACATCACATACAGAAATCAACCTATGTTTTCAAGAAAATATATATAACGCCTGAGTTTAAAATATACAAAGAAATCTATAAGCCTCTAGTAACAGGTGATGACCGGTGGTTTATTTGGATACAAAGGTGCTTCCCTGTGTACGGCCACTGCAATAGTTCCAGTGGCATTATATGATATTTTGTAATAAGAGGGCAAAGCTAGCTCCAAATCTCTTTCTTTCACAAAAGGTGGGAAAAATAACATAAAAGAGTTATGGCCGTATGTTGAGCACGATATTGTGGAAGCTTACTCAAAAACATACACTTCCGTGTCATCCTCACATCTGTTATTCACTCGTCGTACTGTTATCTGTTCGGCACGCTGTCACACAGATGTCTGTCTGTAGTTTTTGGTGTCCAAAACTTTCTTTCCACACATTGCACAGATTCCTGGAGTGGCAAAAAAGGAAGCAAGCATAAGAAAAGCAATTCAAAATAAGAATTAATAAATGTATAGACAGAAAATAAAAGCAAGATCAGGAGAAGGGGCGGCACGTTGTGAATACATCATTGACATCAAATCAGTGTAGTTAGTTGTCATGTAGAACTTGTTAGCAAATCAGGCAGACACAGTACAGTATGTGTCCCTGATCAATATCCATCCAAGATTCATTCTCATTTAGCTCTGATTTTGGTCACCACCAACTCCCGCAGGGATATCATTCGCCTCTTTCGCTGCTTGTTGCTAAGATTGTCGATTTTATATGTAGTAATGGGCATTAGGGCTGCTCGATTATGGCAAAAATCATAATCTCGATTATTTGGGTCAATAATTGTAATTGCGATTATTAAATGCGATTATTCATTGACTTTGAAAACATCCATTTATTGGAGAAAAAAATGTAAATAGTATGTTTTTAACAGTTGATTACATTGAACTTTAAGTATACTTCAACTGAAATACGATTAATTGAGCAGCCCTAATCTCAAGGTGCTTTCACCATGAATACTGATCAAACATCAACACGTGCCGTCAGGGGAAGAGAGGGTAATATATACTGTCATGCCGAGGTGGCCCTCACGGATCGGTGGGGGGTGGGCCCATGTCCCTCCCTTCCTGGCTCAAGTCCTCCCTGTTTAGGGGGCGGGCCGGGGGGACCTCGCCCCTCTTGGAGGGGCCCGTCTCCCGACCTGCGGGCGTCCTCTACCTGGGGGCGGTTCTATCTCTAGAGGCCTCAGCCCCTGTCGCGGCCGAGGGGGTGCGACCCAGCACTCCTTGCGTTCGAGGGGGGCGGTTGTTTCACGACCTCTTGGGGGCAAACAAAAATCAATAGCCTGAATTCTTTGCTAACTTATTGGAACAAAACGCCTGATCTTCAGGCTTTCAAAGTCCTGACCCGCTCGAGAGTAAGAGCGGAGAGTAGAGTAGGAGCGAGAGTAGAGCTAGGAGCGAGCCAAGAGCAAGCGCAGAGCCGAAGAGCAGCAGCGAGCGGTGAGAGTAGCCGAGGCGAGGCAGAGCGAAAGTAGAGCGAGAGAGACAGAGCGAGAGCCAGGGAGAGCAGAGCGAAAGAGCAGAGCGAGCGAAGCAGAGCGAGAGCGTGCGACGGAGAAGCAGACAGAGCGAGAGCGCGAGCAGGCGCAGCAGAGCGAAGAGCCAGAGCGAGAGGCAGACAGAGACGAGAGCAGCAGAGGAGGAGCAGAGCAGCGAGAGCAGGAGCGAGAGCAGAGCGAGAGCAGACCAGAGCGAGGAGAGCAACGAGCAAGGAGCATGCCGAGCGAGAAGCAGAGCGAGCGAGAGCAGAGCGGAGCAGAGGGCGAGAGCAGAGCGAGCGGAGAGTTAGAGCAACGAGCGAGAGTAGAGCGAGACCGGGTGCAGAGCAAGAGCGAGCGCAGGAGCGGAGAGTAGAGCGCGGTGTGTACATGGGGACGAAGAGGAGTGAAACCGTACTGGGAATGATATAATTTTTAGACAAAGTTTTTCCCGAACTATTATCCGGATTATATCAACAT